AAAATTACTATTCCAGTTGCGATGCGCATGCAACCCGCCAGTTGGAAAGCCCTGCCCCGCCTGAGCTCTGCGGTTGCCCACTAGATTCGAGGGCCCAGAAAAAAGAAGATAGTTTCGATAGGGAAAGTATTGTAATTAATCAGCACTCTTTCTCACAAAGTTTATTTTTACATTGAATTGTTTATCTTAGTGTAGAATGTTTATCTGAAAATATTTGAATTACAACAAGCTTAATTTCACTTATTTACGATGTCGCTTTTAACTAAAGTACTTGAAAAGTCGAATAATGTGTTGCGAACTTTGCAGCTTCATCGATTTTAAAAAAGTCACCTAAATTTACTTCAGTTTTAACTTTTCTTTTGTATTCTGACAATACAACCGAGTCAGGCTATGGCAATGCCATGCCTTGCACCTGACAGCCATAACTTCTAGAGATCTGTGATGAGTAGGTCGCAACCCCTCACGCCATCTTTTTGGCATTGGCAATATCTTCCTGCAAGAAGCTTCCGCATTATCAACTAGCTTTACGAACGAGGATAAGACAGTGAAAAGCTACAGTTTAATTTTTGTGCCATCCGAGAATGGCCTTGCAATCTCTATCCATGACCCACTGAGGGCTTAACGTTTTTTAAAATACTGTGAAACATATGGTCGTATGCACTATAAACATATGTTCCAGTTTCAAAGTCGCTGAATTGCATGGCTAGTTCACCTTGACGACTGTCTATTATTCACCTTAAGATCAGTGAGGGTGGAAGGTAACGGAAGATGGTGTATAATGATGTGAGGTATGGTGAAAAATCACCTAAAAGTTACTTGAAGAATCTGGTTTTTTCACATACATATTCTAAATAGAGGTTTTGCAGAATCGGAAATTAATTTTGTTTCAGTTCGTAGGTCACAAAGCTGTCGTCTTTGAATATGAATTGAAAAGCGAATCACACCACAGGACGTGAGCGGTTTCTAACAGTGCACTCTTATGCATATACTTCTAAGCTTGGACAGCAAGATGTTTCATTAGGATCCGGGCTTCAGTCCCTAGAGCTTCTGGACTTTCTTTCCTATTCTTTTTGCAGATCAACATATTGTTGTTTTTTTCAATCTCTTTATCCACTCTGAAATCCGGTGGAACGACCACGTTCACTATTCATACCTATTTCTCTTCAACAATAGTGAGATAAGATGTGGTTCAACCGATGATCTGTCTCAATTTTAAAAACCCTAAAGTACTACTTTTGTCAATGTAATTATTAAATTTCGTGTAATGTTGTATCCCGTGGGTGTATCCCTTCTGAAATATAAGTATAACTACGATCCAGACGTTAAACCACAGAGAAGATAGATTTTGTAGTTTTTTTTATTCAGAAAACAAATTATATGTTACAAGTTTCCCAAATTCCTATACCTTCAGGCAAAAAAATTTCTGTTCTAGATCTACAAATGGTAACTTTGAAATTTTGAATATCTTTCATGATTAAAAGAAAATGGGCAGTTATAACAAAAATACGTTCATTTTATCGGTACATTCGAATTGATGGAAGAAAAGAGGAAGAAGCGGAAGCAGCTAGAAATTCCGTTGAAGGAATTCTAGCTTGTTGTGTATTGTTCATTTCAAGTTATTCTTAATCACTCATAATTGTGAGGGTAAAAGTAATGTATTCCAAGATCCAAGCCTCAAAATATCCTACTTCCTGAACGCCAATATAGGGGAATGTAGTTGTATTTGAAACTTTTATACTCTGTATGAGACAATTCGATATTTAGAAAATTCTTCGGAAAACTATTTACCAATTGCTACTATATTGTACACAAGAGAAAGCATTAACATGTAATTCTTTGATAATATCTTAATTTGTATATTCCAAAGCGAATATGAAACTAATTATTTCAATGGATACTTAAATAACTGTATTTCAATTAATATCATCATCAACATATTTTTAAATAATTGTAAAATAAAATGTATTCAAGTTACAGGGTCAATAACTACTCTCGGAGAGAGTGCACAACTGTATAAATGTAATGTACAAAAATCAATGTTTCTTCGTATTTTATGCGCTGCCGTACCGTTCATTCGATTTCAATACAGCTTTGTTAGATTATTGATTACACTTACGCAAATAATATAAGCATAGCGCAATGGGAATATGCTTATGTCTATCCACATATACGTGCGTTTAAGATTTTATGCGTTTGTGTTGACTCCTGCGTTTCTGAACAGAAGTTCTAGACAACCCGCCACACACCCAAGTATTAAGTGCGTCTTCGCTGCATATACTGCCCCTGCGATTGTGAAATATCTGCCAGAATTGTAATATTGAACGTTAACTTGGACAAGTAAATGCAATTTCTCCAAGACAATGTAATAGCGAACTCATGCTCAAACTTAAGGAGGACATTTTAACAATAGAAATATTAACAACCATAACCAAATTGGGACATAAAAAAACTCATACTCGTGAGAATGTATTTCGTGTAATAAATATTTTTCAAAGTGTAGCGCAAAACGTGGTTAATAATCAAGTGACCAGTAGCGGGTGAAACGTAATACATTGCAATAGCGAAGCATTGAGGGATCCACACAGTACATATTCACTACTGTTGTCTCATGTTTAGTTAGTTATTTTTAATTTTGTGAAATATGAATTACATTTTGAAGACGAAACATTATCCAGGCACAGTAGGAACACCAATTAATTTACTGGATAACCCACATTAAAATTGATTACCTGAATAACGAAACTATATAAATCTTTGTCATGTTTTACTGGTACGAAATGTTTCTATGGTTCGATTTCTAATTAAATTGTGTTGTAATTATCAATTCATTATCATTAAATGTTTCAAGCAAACGCTCTTTAAAGCTTCAAAATTTTGAATAATATTTCAGAATTACTGTGAATACATGTGAAGCCATACGCAGCTATCTAGTGATTCCCAAAGCTGCTCACAATTATGTTCCGTTGCTTGCATACTCTCACAAAATGAAACTGATTTAATGGTTCAAATTAAGGGACGCCCATTTCTAATACGTTTTGCAATTATTTAACTGTTTTTCTGTCAGAAAAATCTATCATCTAATATATTCATTTGTGACCCAGTGGTCGCCGAACAATTATAGACATTTTATTATCGTTAGCGCCAGTTAACATTATAGTAGTTTAATCGTCACCTGAGTAATTTTAAGTTTTCGTTGTAGACTTGTGTATATGTTTACAGAGTAATGTATGACAATGTATGAGCATTTTTTGGAACCATTTACATATTAACGCTAGATGATGTGACAAAAACAGAGTGACGGGCGACTGCGAAGTGACAGGAGAAAATGATAACCTACGAATTTCGTCGAAATATAAAAATTGTATTAATATCCTCGAATCATGGTAGAGTAGTTATAATATAGTTATTTCTATTGTAATAATTATTTAATATCCTGATTTCAAAATTTTGATGGATTTCTACATCGAAACATTAAAATAAAGCTTTTGAGTAAGTTTCCATCCTGGTATTTTTTTTTCAAAAATGTATTTTTTTTGTTGACATCGTATTAACTTTGAGATTAGACGTTAGGAGTGTTTTATTGAAGTGATATTCTTTCAAAACAACAGAATTTTACGAGATATATTTTATTCTTCAGTAAATAATTATTTTCTTCGATTATATGGTTAGTTGTTACAGATATTTATTTGCAATTGGCTACGGAGCTGTATCTGAGCATACTTGCATAGACTCATACACAACAGGCGCAGTAGATTAGTCGAATATAATAGCCAAGTAATGAAAAGTTATCTCTGTCACGTTGTACGAGACAGTTTTCATCCGTGCACCGCACATTCTGGTTCATCCACGCCTCTCAGATCTGGCAATGCCTTCTCCTTTCCCGTCGCCCTGTATGTTCGTAAGCGTTAAAGAGGAGCACATTTCAGCGAGACAAATATATTACTCTTGCATTTCTCTGCGGGCGGGCATAAAAGACGCTGCCAGCCAACTCGAGGCGGTCACGTTGTCGCGCGAAATACGCGCGTCAGCACCGCAAAAACCATCCGCGCGGACGCACTGTATCCTCGTCCGTCGGGTGGAATGAACGTTATACGTCGGCGGGAGCGCGTGGCGACAGGGGCGGTGGTGGCGGACAAGGAGTGGAGGTCGGAGACGCAGCGGGGGGTGGAGACGGAGGCGGGGTGTGGAGGCGTTGCGATGACCTCGGCGTGGGTGCTCTAAGAGGCGACAGCACCAGCGGTGACAGGGGCAGGGGTGGGTTGGGGGGCGTTAGTGGAGGTGGTGGTGGTGGTTGGTGGGTGGTGACAGCGGCTTTGATGGCGGCGGGCGCGCGACGGTGGTGGGTAAATGTCGCACGGGAGGAAGACGAGCGACCGTCGCGGTGACGGTGGCAGCAGCGTCGGGGGCGGAGGTGGTAGCGTAGCCGCGACCCCTGCGCGACTCCTCACGCGCTGTGGCCTAATGGAAGGCGCTGGCTGGATCCGGTGCTGCCCAGAGCTTATAGCGTCCCTACGTCGTGCCGTATTCTGTGACGCATGCTCCAACATCCACCCCTCCCTTACATTTCTGCGTCTGTGCACAATCCACACCTTTGCAGTTTTCCACTCGTGCCCTCGCGTCCCTTAATTGTGACGGATTCACTCCTGCTCGATGGTGGCTTACCGCCAGCAGTTTTTTTATACTTTTCTCTTCCCCCCACCCCTACCCTTTTGCAGAAGAAGCTTTCTTTTGTGTCTTCAATTCTCTCAATGGTTCTGAGATGAATATTTAGGTCCACATACTTAATGACAGTAGATCCAATAACCATTGCTCAGGCTCTTTTCATTTACCATTATACATGGATGGAGAGTACCATTTAAATGCCATCGGAAACTACCGAATAACAAATTTGCTTGAATAATTAATTGAATGTGTATTATTGTTCCGATATTAAGGTTAAGCACTTTGAAAATTGCTTATAAATATGTATTTGATATAAAATAATTATTCATTGTATTCAGTTAAATGTACCCTGTGGCATTCAGAATTCAGGTATATGAACTTCATTTTCTGGATACATTATTTAAATTTTTCTAATATTTTTCTTTAAATGTAAAATCTCTCATTTAGTGACTAATACATAAAACTCCTTACACATTATTACATTAAGTTCCTGAAATAATGTTTAAATGTCTTTGATCTCTAATATTCTCAGCTTCCGGGTATATGTGTCATCTTTCTAGCGAAGTATTTTTGTTCACAACTCATTCCTTTTGTTTGATAAACCTTAACACCACACATCTTGCACGCTTGTCACTCACATTTTCTTTTCGCAGCAGCGCCGCCACTTCTGTGGTCCGCTAACTCGCATTCCTCCCCATCCCACCTCTCAGGCCCTGGACTTACTACCGCACACTTTGCGCCCCCGCTCTCGCCTTGTAATATCTCTACTTCCTTTCCTCCCCCCCCACACCTCGCCATTTCTCCCTTCTGCAGAGTCAGGTTCCGCCGCTCTGCCCGTCCCCTTCACGGCCGCTACCACAACCGCGCCGCCTCGCCTGCCAAGTTCTCGCCTCCGCCGCCGCCGCCGCTCGGGCCCCTTAAATATGTTATAGCGAATGTACAGGGTAATATTGTAGGCGGCGCCTCCGCCGCTGCCAGTGGCTGGTGCAGTCGGAGGAGCTGGCGCCGCGGCACTCTCCATCCCGCCCC